AGCCTGGGTGATAAAGTGAGACTCCGTCTCAAAAAAAAAAAAGAAATGTCAACGGCAGCACTGTCAAAAGAGCAAAGCGGAACCCAACTTAAGAGCCCACTAATAAGGGAGAGGATGAAGGTGACTGAGGCATCCCTCCACACACAGAGCTGTTAGAGTGCATTTTGCCTGCATGAACCAACATGCCGCTGAATGACACACACAATCTGACATGCTGTTTACACCCAGAATGACACACACAATCTGATATGTGGTTTACACCCATCTTTCAAGATTCAAAACAAGTCTACACATGGTGTAAGGATGCACAGTATGTGATAAAAATATAAAATCAGGGACCGGAGAGGTACACACTGGCAGCTGGAGAGTAGTTGCCTCTGGAAAAGGAGGAAGGCAGATGAAATAGAAAGGCATATAAAGGGGATTTTGGTTGTGTCCTTTACAAACACAATGGGAGAAGAGCTGAGGCAGATGAGGCGAGAGGTTAACGTGTGTCACACACAGGTACTGGGTTCGTGTGGTTGGCTATCTTACCTCTATACTCTATTGAGTGCTTCATAATTTAAGATGCATGATTCTTACTGTGGTGGGAGTGGACGATGGCAGTTTGGCAACATCCACATTAAGATTGTACTTACACTTCACCCAAAACTTGTACCTTTAGTACTGGACCATACAGATGTGGTCACACATGTTTACAGACACATGTGCAAAGATATTCTGCACAGCGCTGTGCATAATAGCAAATGGTTGGCAATGACCTAATTCTATCTGTAAATTATTGTTAAAGAAACTCTGATTCGGCCAGGCGCAGTGGCTCACACCTGTAATCCCAGAACTTTGGGAGGCCAAGGCGGGCCGATCACAAGGTCAGGAGATCGACACTATCCTGGCTAACATGGTGAAACCTCGTCTCTACTAAAAAGAAAACACAAAAAATTAGCCAGGTGCGGTGGCACATACCTGCAGTTCCAGCTACTCGGGAGACTGAGGCAGGAAAATAGCTTGAACCCAGGAGGTGGACGTTGCAGAGAGCCGAGATCGTGCCACCGCACTCCAGCCTGGGTGACAGAGCGAGACTCCGTCTCAAAAAAAAAAAAAAAAAAAAAGAAAAACAAACAAAACTAACAAACAAAAACTCTGATTCATCCCTACAGGGAATACCATGCCACTATAAAAAAAAAAAAAAGAGAGAGAAGGGGCTGGGCACGCTGGTTCATGCCTGTAATCCCAGTACTTTGGGAGACTGAGGCAGGCAAACTCCCTGAGCTCAGGAGTTCAAGACCAGCCTGGGCAACATGCCAAAACCCATCTCTACAAAAAATAAATACAAAAATTGGCTGGGCGTGGTGGCACGCAACTGTAGTCCCAGCTACTTGGGAAGCTGAGGCAGGAGGATCACTTGAGCCTCAAGGCTGCAGTGAGCTGAGACTGCACCACTCCACTCCAGCCTGAGTGACATAGCAAGACCCTGTCTATCTATGTATCTATCTATGTATCTATCTATGTATCTATCTATGTATCTATGTATCTATCTATCTATCTATCTATCTATCTATCTATCTATCTACTTACTTACTTAGAAATAGTTTCACTCTGTCGCCCAGACTGCAGTGCAGTGGCAACATGTTGGCTCATCGCAACCTCCGCCTCCCAGGTTCAAGTGATTCTCCTGTCTCAGCCTCCCAAGCAGCTAGGATTACAGCGCCTGCCACCTGTATTTTGTATTTTTGTATTTTTAGTAAAGGTGGGTTTCACCATGTTGGCCAGGCTGGTCTCAAACTCCTGACCTCAAGTGATCTGTCTGCCTTGGCCTCCCAAAGTGTTGGGATTACAGGAGTGAGCCACTGCACCTGGCCCCATCTCTTTATACACCAATATAGAACAATCTTCATGATTAAGTTTTAAAAAAAAAATGCAAGATGGGAGTAGCTGCACACGGGGCAGGACTATGGGTGTGTGGGTGTATTCCAGTGTATTCCCAGAGTCGCCCTTGAGGAGGGTGCCAAGGAGATGCAGGCAGGGTGGGGGAGAGGCCTGCGGTGCACCTGCCTTCTGGTCTGCATGTGTACCACGTGCATGTTCTGTCCCAAAATTCTTTGTTAAAAAGAGATACCATGTGAAATTTTCATTATTTAAGAAATTCCCACCAATAAGTGAGAAAAAAACAAACTATCCAATAGAAAATTGGGCTATAAACAGACAACTCATAAGAGAAATACGAATGGCCAGCCAGGCGCAGTGGCTTACGCCTGTAATCCCAGCACTTTGGGAGGCCAGAGCGGGCAGATCACGAGGTCAGGAGATTGAGACCATCCTAACTAACATGGTGAAACCCTGTCTCTACTAAAAACACAAAAAATTAGCTGGGTGTGGTGGCAGGCACCTGTAGTCTCAGCCTCCTCAGTAGCTGGGACTACGGGCACCCGCCGCCACACCTGGCTAATCTTTTGTATTTTTTAAGTAGAGACAGGGTTTCACCATGGTCTCGATCTCCTGAGCTCGTGATCCGCCCGCCTCGGCCTCCCAAAGTGCTGGGATTACTGGTGTGAGCCACTGCGCCTGGCCAAGAAATGTATTTAAAAATGTTCAACTGGCCGGGTGCGGTGGCTCATGCCTGTAATCTTAGCACTTTGGGAGGCCGAGGGGGGCAGATCACCTGAGCTCAGGAGTTCAAGACCAGTCTGGGCAACATGGTGAAACCCCATCTCTACTAAAATACAAAAAATTAGCCGGGTGTGGCGGCGTGTGCCTGTAGTCCCAGTTACTCAGGAGGCTGAGGCAGGAGAATTGCTTGAACCTGGGAGGCAGAGGTTGCAGTGAGCCGAGATCACACCACCGCACTCCAGCCTTCCAGTCTGGGCGAGAAAGCACAAGACTTCCGTCTCCAAAAAAAAACTTCAACTACACTAACAAGGACAAACCAAAATGAAATGCCACAATTCACCTGCCAGATTGACAAAAGGCTGACTGACATCAGGGCTGGTGAGGACATGAGAAAATGGGCACCTTTGTATACGACTGGTGGGCAGGATGAGAGACAACCTTAGTAGTGGGAATTCATTAGGCCTGCCTGAACTTCCCCCCACTGGGTTTAACAGCCTTATGAAGATAGAATCCACATACCAACAAGTCACCCACTTACAATGTACAATTCAATGGCTTCTAGTACATTCACAGTTGTTCAACCATCACCACAAACAATTTTAGCACATTTTTATCACCCCAATCTTCCCACCCCCCAAGACCCAGGAAACCACTCATCTATTTTCTGTCTATGTATTTGCTTATTCTGGACATTTCATATGAATGAAATCACATAGTGTGTGGCCTATTGTGTCCAGCTTCTTTCACTGAGCCTAATGTCTCCCTTTTCTTTTTGAGACAGGATCCACTCTGTGACCCAGGCTGGAGTGCAGTGGCACAATCATAGGCCAGCGCAACCTCCAACTCCAGGGCTGAAGTGATCCTCCGGCCTCAGCCTCCCAAAGTGTTGGGATTACTGGCGTGAGCCACCACACGCAGCCCAGCCTAATGCTTGAGGGTTCACCCATGCCGCAGCATGCATCAGAACTTCACTACCTTGTAGGGCCGAATAATATCCTGCTATATAGATAGATATTTTGTTTATCAATTCCTCAGTAGATGGACTTGTGGGTTGTTTCTACTTTTTGGCAATTATGAATAATACTGCTATGAATATTTATGTACAAGGTTCTGTGTGGACAGGCTTGCACCTGTAATCCCAGCACTTCAGGAGGCTGAGGTGATCGCTTGAGCTCAGGAATTCAAGACTAGCCTGCACAACACGCTGAGACCCCCAACTCTACCAAAAAAAAAAAAAATTAAATATTTAGCCAGGGCGTGGTGGCATGCACCTGTGGTCCCAGCTACTTGGGGGCTGAGGCAGGAGGATTGCTTGAGCCCAGGAGGTTGAAGCTGCAGTAAGCCATCATCTCGCCATTGAACTCCAGCCTGGGACACAGGGCAAGATCCTGTCTCAAAAAAAGAATAAAATAAAATAGAAATACAATATACAGCAACAACTGTAAGTGTATTAAAGTTTTGTGTAAAAGGATATTCCTGGAGCACTGTTTATAATTGCAAAATGTTGAAAACTAAGTTTCTACTAATAAGAAACTCATTGAATTAACTGGGGTAGATTGTACACGGAATACTGTACAAAGACAAGATGTCTATAAGATGTCTCTAAGTTACACAATAAAAGTAGAATCCCACTTTGTTCAAAACACAAAGCAATGTGCACACACTTGCCTACAGACACACCTTTCCACAGCAGAGGAAAAGTCCCAGGGCAGCTCTTTCCCAAACCAAGTGGGTATCTTAGGGAGGGTGAAAAACAGAGGAAGATCTTTGCCTTTTTTTTTTTTTTTTGAAACAGAGACTCTCTCGCTCTGTCGTCCAGGCTGGAGTGCAGTGGCGCGATATCAGCTCACGGCAACCTCCGCCTCCTGGGTTCACACCATTCTCCTGCCTCAGCCTCCCGAGTAGCTGGGAATATAGGCGCCCGCCACCACACCCAGCTGATTTTTGGTGTTTTTAGTAGAGACGGGGTTTCACCATGTTAGCCAGGATGGTCTTGATCTTCTGAGCTCGTGATCCACCTGCCTCAGCCTCCCAAAGTGCTGGGATTACAGGCGTGAGCCACCACACCTGGCCTCTAACTTCTTATTCTATACAATTTTTCTAAGTGACAGGATTATGAGTGCTATTTACTTTTAAAATATTTTTCCATATTTTTCAAATAGTATTTTCAAAATTATTACAGGAATAGGTGTCTATTTCTACTCACCATTGTACCCTTAACGCCAAAGCACCACTCAACACTGGGCGTCAACAGATAAAGAAAATGTGTTGAATAAATGAACGAAAAGCAGTTATTTCTGTGCAAAGGAAAATTCTGTAATAGCTTATACTTCAGTAATATGGTTCCTCATTTGCTGTGACTACATTACATGCTAATAAACAGGGTCACTTACGTGATTCAGAAAATACTGCACGATTATCTCATGGCCAGCCGCAGCTGCTTCCATCAAAGGAGTAAATCCATATATCGGCTCCCTGCAAGATGTGGGCCACAGTCAGATGATTGGCAGAGACAAGTTCTGCCAGGCAAAAACTCCCTGCTGAAGATAAACCCAGGGCAGTGCACGAATCACTGAACCCTCAGTGTAGAACACTCTCTCTCCCTTTCAAGAATTAACAGGTGAGATGAGAATAACACATCAGCTCCATTTACTCTTCTGGTGTCTGTCCCCAGGGCTGGTCTTTGTCCTAAAGACGGATGTCTGCCTATCATCCCTCCTGTTGGCTATTCTCTGCTACCTCTGAAATCTCCACCTCAATCATATTCAAAATGCAGTTCTGACTCCTTACTCCTCACAGAAAGCCAACGTCTCCCATCCATTCATCCAAATCCTAGCTTCAACATCCTCCACGAACCCACTCTGAAAAGCTCAAGTACTAATGATCTAAGCTGTCCTTGCTATGCTTAGCTCCTGAAGCTTGCTTTTCATACTTGGTTATGCTAACTCAGCACTGTCTTCAGAGGGCTTCCGAATCCCTCCTTGTCTCATGCTGGTCTAGAAGTCAGGAAGCATGCACGGGAAATGCTGGTTTTCATCCATTCTAAGACACACAGTGTTCATATTTTAACATCTCTGAAGTCAGAAAACATCTTTAAACCAACAGGTGAGTTGAATGTTAATTAGTAGCATATTTTTTCTTTCTCAGTGGCATACAAAATTATGGGGTGTCTTAGGATGGATGACAGCCAGGGTGGGTCTGCATTGGTACCCACTGTGTTTGTTCAAAGGTGATATCACAACAAGCTTTAGACAACAATCCCACTTCCAACTTATAAAACTCAAGACTGGTTTTTTGTTTGTTTGTTTTTGAGGAGTTTTGCTCTTGCTGCCCAGGCTGGAGTGCAAAGGCATGATCTCAGCTCACTGCAACCTCTGCCTTCCGGTTTCAAGTGATTCTCCTGCCTCAGCCTCCTGAGTAGCTGGGACTGCAGGCGCCCGCCACCAAGCCCAGCTAATTTTTGTTTTTTCAGTAGAGACAGGGTTTCACCATGTTGGCCAGGCTGGTCTTGACCTCCTGACCTCACGATCTGCCCTCCTTGGCCTCCCAAAGTGCTAGGATTACAGGTGTGAGCCACCACTCCCGGCCAAAACTCATGACTGTTTTTAAAGCATCACCTCATCTCATCCATACAAAAGGCAAGAAAATGGAAGGAATTTGCATGTAATGTATGACATTTAAATGCCATTCAGTATGTTAGGCCCCTGGCATACAATAAAACATGTAATTCTTACAACTCTATGACCCAGATGGGTTTCAGATAAAGAACATGAAGCTGAGAGGGCTTGAAGAGATGCACTCACAGATGTGGGAAAAGGCCCACGCCTTCAAGGACTCTCATCCTACCCCTCATCTTGAGCCTTTCCTGCCGAAGCAGGGTGGCCCTAAACTCTGGTTAGCTGCCTCCAGAGCCAACCTCCTTAGAGTCAGATGACACCTAGGCCACTCCTGTGGCCACTAAAGACGTGGCAATCACCTCACGTTGGCATTGGCTCCACTGTCCAAGAGGAACCTGACCATGTGCTGGTGCCCGGCGCTGGTACAGTGGAAAAGGGCCGTCCAGCCCTGGATGTCTTTCATTTCTAGCTCTGCACCTTGCTTCAAGAGAACACAGAACGTGCGTTACGGCCTCATCTCCTCTGCGTGGGGCGGGCGCCCTCCAGGCGGCCATGCTGCAAGAATCAGAAATGATTACACGAGCACACACGAACACCATGACCTGCAGTGGTTTGCGTCTCTGTCAGGGCGGTCAGGGAGCCCCTCAGGTTTCTGGGCCTGAGTTCCCTCGTAGCTCACCTGGAGGAGAAAGTAGGCGATGCTCTCGTTGCCACAGCTGGAGGCCAGCATCAGTGGAGTCTGCCCTTCTGGGGTCGGCACATTCACACTCACCCCCGCCTCAAGAAGCAGGTGCACGATGGTGTCGTGGCCAATGTAGGAGGCATACATCAGCGGGGTCCAGCCACCACCGTTCTTCTTATTCAAATCTAACTCTCTCCTAAACAAACGCAAGATACGCTAGACATGGCCAGCCGCCTCACATGTGGGGTTCGCCAAAGCCGGTGGCGAGCCTAGGCCAGGCGGGATGAGTTGACAGGAAGCAGAAGTTATCTGCCACCCTGGACGTTGTGGGCACTGGGGGCAGGCAGGCAGAGAAATGCTGACAGTTGCTCGTACACTGCCTCGTGAGGCCCTGAGCCTTCGTCTCCTTGCGCTGATTTCGCATCCTCCTAGCCCGAGGCCGGCTATGTTCTTTCACACCACCAGACAGACAGATGGCGCTCAACCAAGGAGTATCTGGCAACGTCTGGAGGCATTTTTGGTTCTCACAGCTGGGCAGGGAAGGGCTGCTGGCATTTAGCAGGTGGAGGCCCAGGCTGCTGCTAAACATCCCACAGTGCCCAGGACAGCCCCACAACAAAGAATGATCCAGCATGGACTGTCAACACAGCCACAGTTGAGAAACCCTGACCACCGCAGGACTGGCATCTACTAGCCCAGTGCTAGGTGGAGAGGAGCACTGAGGAAAGAAAGGACTCCACCGTGGACAAGTCCCACCGCCACTGATTCATCCTTTGTCACCTCACCCTAAAAAAACATTCTTGAAAAATCTGTGACCAAAGAATCCCATCTTTCTCACTGACTTCCGTTAAAATTCTGGAAATGTATTTTCCCATGGGAAAAACCTGTGGGCTTCCTAGTCGTGACTTTGGGGTTGGGACAAGGGAGTCACGTTTAAAACAATACCCACTTGCATGGCTACCTGGGATCCTACAGGGTTAACCCCCACAGGACTTTTTTCCCTTCCCCAATTCTTGCCTGCAGTGGGGGTAACAACTGGAGACTGAACCCCGGGATCTGTCCCTTTTGTGGGATTCACACTTTTTTTTTTTTTGGAGACAGTCTCGCTCTGTTGCCCAGGCTGGAGTGCAGCAGTGTGATCTCAGCTCACTGCAACCTCCACCTCCCAGGTTCACGCCATTCTCCTGCCTCAGCCTCCCAAGTAGCTGGGACTACAGGTGCCCGCCACCACGTGGGCCTGGCTAGTTTTTTTGTATTTTTTAGTAGAGACGGGATTTCACTGTGTTAGCCAGGATGTCTCGATTTTCTGACCTCGTGATCCGCCCGCCTGGGCCTCCCAAACTGCTGGGATTACAGGCGTGAGCCACCGCGCCCGGCCGGGATTCACCTATTAGACCACACCAGGCAACTACCTTCCATTGCCTGGCAGCCCTCAGTGACTCTGGGATGCACACCCAGGCAGCCATTCCAGAAGGTCCTGATACCAGGGTTCAGTGGCAGCCCCTGGCCAGGGGGCTGCATGCAGATGCTTCTGCAACAGGGCTCGAATGCACCCAGCTCGTCCTAACACTACCTTCCTTTACACAACAGCAGAGCGCCTTTCTGGGGCTCTCTCACCACTCCTCGTTCAGCTCCACCCCTCCCTTCTGATGCCCCCGTCTCCCCTCAGGCCCCATCCCGTGCTTACTGTCAGCAAGCCTCCACCTCAGCTAGTGTCAAAATCCCACCACAACACAAACAGCTCCCGCTGCTCCTCTGCGGAGCCATTCTGGACTCTGCATCTTAACAGGACACGCAAAGACTTAGGAGCCTGAGAATTCCAAACGTGACCCTGTGAGGGGTCGCACTGACTGCATACCCAACTGCCTATGCCTAGAGCTTCCTGCAGGGGGAGCACAACAGACTACCCTGTACCAAGCTGCACCAGCGCTCCACGGGCTGGGTATGTCTAAGTGAGGGCCACAAGCTGGGAACCGGAGACCTGGGGCTTCAGCAAGGCTTTGTTCTGGCTCACTGGGAACTGGAAGAGGCACGCGGAGATAAGGAGAGAGGTCACTGCACCACAATATCAAATGAGAACCAGGAGACAGAGTTACGCAGTGTGTGGAACATGACGGGGTAGAAGTGAGGAGACTACCCTTTTCCAAAAACAAGATGATCACATCCTGATATGGGCAAGACTCAGCCATGGGCCCAGCCAGGGGCTTTGTATTGTCTCTAACTATTGCATACAGATTATCAAAGTGCAGGTGGGCAGTGAGGTCTGGAGGCCATTCCCCAGAGGCACGGAAAACCCAGCCTCTCTCAGTAGCAGAAGCTAGAGGGGAACAGGGATCACAGGGATTGAATGAACCCTCCAGGAAAAGGCGGCCAGGGATCACTTTCCTTTTTCTTTCTTTTTTCTTTTTTTTTTTTTTTTTTTTTGAGAAGGAATCTCACTCTGTTGCCAGGCTGGAGTGCAGTGGTACAATCTCAGTTCACTGCAACCTCCACCTCCCAGGTTCAAGCGATTCTCCTGCCTCAGCCTCCTGAGTAGCTGGGATTACAGGTACATGCCACCACGCCCAGCTAACTTTTATATTTTTAGTAGAGATGGGGTTTCATCACATTATCCAGACTGGTCTCAAACTCCTGACCTCAAGTGACCCGTCCACCCCGGCCTCCCAAAGTGCTGGGATTACAAGCATGAGCCACTGTACCCGGCCTTCACTTTCTGTCTTTATTTTTATTTTGCTTGTTTGGGCATTTCTGCAATTAGTGAATAAAATTAGTCTGGTTAAAGAATGACTGTTTATAAGCTTCTGATCAAAGTTTATACCCTCTTTTTCTTCCCAGGAATAAAAACTGCCTCTTTGTCAGTGCCCAGCATCAATAATTACTGACAGCTGCCTGAGATAAGCAGGTTAACCTATTCTACACGCATTACACATCCACATCTGTGTGCAAAGCCCCATCACGTGGGATCCGAAGCCATTACTGCGCTACTCAAAATGTGACAGGGAAGCTCCCGCGATCTCTTACCGCTGCACACATTCCTTCACCACTTCATACTGGCCAATGGAAGCAGCTGTGTGAAGATCCAGGGGGACGTCCAGCTCCTCCCGGCTGACCTGTGCCCCTAGCCCATGCCACATGGACAAGCTGCGGTTCAGGAGTTCCGGCTCGCTGGCTTCATCGCTGAGCTCGGACATCACTGAGGAGGAAGGGCCAAGGGTTAGATCTTTCCTGGCTGGTTGTTCCAGGGCATGAAACAGGCTGCTCCTGCCCCTGCTACACTACTACACTAGCAGACTGATAACCCACTACACTAGCAGACTGATAACTAGCAGACTGATAACCACTACACTAGCAGACTGATAACTAGCACACTGTTAACTGTGGAGTACGTCCTCCTCCTTCCATCCTCAGGCACCAGGTAAAAGAGAATTTTCCATCAACTCTAGGAACCTGACAACCTCTTGGATAGGCAGTAAAGAAATGCTAATTGGGTTATTTAACCAAATCAGCTCCTTGATGTGGTGGGGAAGAACGCTGGATTTGGGGTTAGATCAAAATTCAGCTCGGACCAGGTGTGGTGGCTCACACCTGTAATCCCAGCACTTTGGGAGGCTGAGGTGGGTGGATCACTTGAGGTCAAGGGTTCAAGACCAGCCTGGCCAACATGGTGAAATCCCGTCTCTACTAAAAATACAAAAATTAGCTGGGCGTGAAGGCCAGCTACTCGGGAGGCTGAAGTAGGAGAATCAATTGAACTGGGGAGGCGGAGGTTGCGGTGAGCAGAAATCAGGCCATTGCACTCCAGCCCGGGCGACAGAGCAAGACTTTGTCTCAAAAAAAAAAAAAAAAGAAAAGAAAAAAAAAAAAAGGCACCTCTGCTACTTAGCACCTCCAATCCCTAGTGCCTCACCGTCTAACAGGGACATATCTGAAAAGGCTGCTATTATGATACATGAAAGAATGGATAAACAAACGGTGGCACATCCGTATAATGGATGCTACTCAGCATTAAACACAAGGATCCAACAGTTGACATGCAACACATGAACGAATTTCAAATGCTTCACGCTAAATGGAAGAAGCCTGCCTACTGTATCATTTCACTTACACGACATTCTGTAAAAGGCAAAATTAAAGGGTTGGAGGTTAGGGGCGAGAGGGAATTTGGGGGACAATAGACCTGTTCTGTATGACTGTGATGGTGGATCTGTGCCTCTATGCCTTTATGAAACCACAGACCTGAACGCCAAAATGAATTTTACTATATGTAAATTGCATTCATTTTTTTTTAGACAGTCTTGCTCTGTTGCCCAGGCTGGAGTGCAGTGGCGTGATTTCAGCTCACTGCAACCTCTGCCTCCTGGGTTTAAGGGCTTCTTGAGCCTCAGCCACCTGAACAGCTGAGATTACAGGTGTACGCCACCATGCTAGGCTAATTTTTGTATTTTTAGTAGAGACAGGGTTTTCACCATGTTGGCCAGGCTGGTCTTGAACTCCTGACCTCAGATGATCCACCCGCCTCAGCCTCTCAAAGTGCTAGAATTACAGGCATGAGTCACCGCACCTGGCCTACAAACTTTAAATATAAATTAATTTTTCTGGAATGGTTATGAAATTGAAAATTTCAAAAAAGTAAAGAAAAATAAATTTTTCTGAGAAAAATAGAAAGCAATTCCCCAACACAGAAACCAGGATGTGATTGGTGACACTCAGCAACGGCCAGCTGAACAGGAATCCACTTTGGCATCCTTTGAAGAGAGAGATATGGGGGGAAATATAATAGGGCAGTGAATTGGTGGGGTGACGCTTTCCCCAAGATGGGCCTACATGGGTAACAGCACATCAGGAAACCCCAAATCAAGGCCAAGTCATTAGCTTCCTAGTAGAATCCTTAGGTACAAGAGTGCCAGGAAACAAGGGTAGGAAAGGCAGCAAAGGCGAAAACAAAGGCCTTGTCATGTTGCCATCACCTACAGGTGCTATGGCAGTTAATAGATGCAATGAGGACCTCAGTTTCTACTAAAGAATGCTTCCAAGCCCCAGGTGATAGCCAAGATGGCTGAAGAAACAAGCCACCAATGTTGGGGACAAACACTTCACAGGCCCTTGGCGAGAGTATTTGTAGGTGTGGTGGGGCAGGCAAAGCCCTCCCTCCTGGAACCATCACCTCTTCAGCTGGCAGAGCCCAAGATCATGCAGTCCCCTCCCTCACTCTGCACGTGAGAATCCCACCCTCAACCGTCCTGGCCAGCGGCGCCTGGATAAGACACCAAAGGCTCGGCCGGGCGCGGTGGCTCAAGCCTGTAATCCCAGCACTTTGGGAGGCCGAGACGGGTGGATAACAAGGTCAGGAGATCGAGACCATCCTGGCTAACACGGTGAAACCCGTCTCTACTAAAAAATACAAAAAAAACTAGCCGGGCGTGGTGGCGGGCGCCTGTAGTCCCAGCTACTCGGGAGGCTGAGGCAGGAGAATGGCGTGAACCTGGGAGGCGGAGCTTGCAGTGAGCTGAGATCCGGCCACTGCACCCCAGCCTGGGCGGACAGAGCGAGACTCCGTCTCAAAAAAAAAAAAAAAAAAAAAAAGAAACCAAAGGCTCTGAGCTGAGTGTCACTTCAGAGTCCCTTCCATACCTCCCTCAAGCCTTCACTGGGCATGTCTCTTCCACTCCAAAGGCCTCCTGCAGGGTGAGGCCGTGTTCTCTATTTATTGGAGACTTGCATGTCTGACACCCCCCAAGGACTGAGGGATAATCAGAACCAGACCAAGCCTGATAGACCACTGGAGGCCAAGGGTTCGAGACTAGCCTGGCCAAAATGGTGAAATCTCATCTTTACTAAAATTACAAAAATTAGCCGGGCGTGGTGGTGGGCGCCTGTAGTCTTCAGTATTCAGGAGCCTGAGGCAGGAGAATCACTTGAGTCTGGGACGCGGCTGCAGTGAGCCGATATCAAGCCACTGCACTCCAGCCTGGGCAACAGAGTGTCTCAAAAAAAAAAAAAAAAAAAAAACTAAAGTCAAAACTAAAAGTCCCATCCCATCCCGAGTGATGTGGTGTAAAGTAGCACTGGTGTTCCTACTTTACAGGTGTGGTGTAAAGTAGCACTCGAGATAGGATATTTCATTCAACTTTTTGGTTCTGTCCACTCTGAAAATGTGAAGTATCTGTTACCCTTACAATAAATCCTAAAGAAAATGTGGTACTTAGACACAATGGAGTACTATTCAGCCATAAAAAAAAAGAGATCCTGTCATTTGCAAAAACATGGATGGAACTGGAGGTCATTACGTTAAGAGAACTAAGCCAGGCACAGAAAGACAAACACTGCATGCTCTTACTTATTTGTGGTTATCTAAAAATCAAAACAATTGAACTCATGGAGATAGAGAGCAGAAGAATGGTTACTTCTATTGTAACCAAGGCTGGGAAGGGTAGTGGAGGGTGGGGATGGTTAATGAATACAAATAAAAAATAGAGCGAATAAGATGTACTATTTGACAGCACAACAGGGTGACTATAATCAATATAATCTAATTGCACAATTTATTTATTTTTATTTTTTATTTTTTTGAGACGGAGTCTCACTCTTGCCCAGGCTAGAGTGCAGCGGCGTGATCTCGGCTCACTGCAACCTCCGCCTCCTGGGTTCAAGTGATTCTCCTGCCTCAGCCTCCCAAGTAGCTGGGATTACAGGTATGAGCCACCACGCCAGGCTAGCTTTCGTATGTTTAGTAGAGATGGACTTTCCTCATGTTGGCCAGGCTGGTCTCGAATCCTTGACTTCAGGCGATCCGCCCACCTCGGCCTCCCAAAAGGCTAGGATTACAGGCGTGAGTGAGCCACCGCGCCTGGCTGCACATTTAAAAACAACTAAAAGAGGCCGGGCGCGGCAGCTCAAGCCTGTAATCCCAGCACTTTGGGAAGCTGAGACGGGCGGATCACGAGGTCAGAAGATCGAGACCATCTTGGCTAACACAGTGAAACCCCGTCTCTACTAAAAATACAAAAAACTTAGCCGGGCGTAGTGGTGGGCACCTATAGTCCCAGCTACTCGTGAGGCTGAGGCAGGAGAATGGTGTAAACCCGGGAGGCTGCACTTCAACCTGGGCGACAGAGCGAGACTCCATCTCAAAAAAAAAAAAAAAAAACCTAAAAGAGTATAATCAGACTGATTGTAACACAAAGGATAAATGCTTGAAAGAATGGCGACCCCATTTTACATGATGTGAGTATTACGAACTGCACGCCTGTATCAAATCTCTCATGCACGCCATAAATTTATACACCTACTACGTACCCACAAAAATGAAAAAATTTTTTAAAATCTTAACAAATGTGATGCTGGTGGAAACTGTCACGCCCACAGAGGAGGTCTGTGAAAGCCCCCGGGCACCGCCTCTCGCCCCGTGGAACCGCAGCGGGAACAGGCGCTTCGCAAAGCTAGCTCACTGGCCCCGGGGCGGGTCCCTGGCCGACAACCCCAGAACTCACAGCAGTGACGCTTCCCGACGCCCCTGGCCACATACCCACAGGAACCCTACCGTGCACAGAGCATTACTGTCCCCACGCCACAACCACATAAAGAAAATGTGGGGCTCGGTCCTCCAGTCACGCGGCGAGCAAGTGCAGCGCGGGACGCCCGAGTGCCGGGTCAGGGCGGGCAGCAAGTGCCGGCAAATGGTGGGGCCGGGCCGCTGCGGAACCCACCTGTGCTGGGCCTCAGGCCTTGCGCCGCCCTCCGGCTGCCGCCGCCAACCCCGCAAACAGCTAGCCGCCACGCTCCCTTGCCGGGCCACCGCCCCCGGCACCCGCCCCGGAAGTAGTTGCGGGAGGGCGCGGAGCACGCCGGGAAGCTCACGGGTCCACACCGGGACAGCTCCCGGGCGCCGTGGAATGCACACGTCCCACACCCGGACCTTCCGGTCAGCTTCCCGGCTCGTTGTATGATACCCGCGACAGCCAATGAGCAAGTGGTGTTTGTCCTACCCAGCCCCCGCCCTGGCCAGGGGAACCAATCCCATTGCAGAAGAGGCAGAATGCGCAAAGGCCCGAAAGAGGAGCGGGAGGAACGGGGCGGCAGTCTAGTAATGTAAAGCTCCGCTAAGAGGAAGAGTGCCGAAGAAGGGGACAGTCTCTGTACCTGTGGCGCCGCCCGAGGGACGGACGAGACTGGAGTGGCGCGCTGGAGGCTGTTTACAGCCCTGTTAGGACCGCGCAGGGAGTGGAGGTGGAAGCCTCAGGTGAGGGGCCTCGGGCCTGCTGCGCCTGCAGGGAGTTGAACAAAACGCGGGGAAACACGGGCTGGGGGTGTGTGAGAGGAGGAGCGATGGGCTTTCCACTTCCACAGCTTTAAAATTTAAAGGCTTGACCCGGGAGGCTGTTGGCGTCTGGTTTCCATGACAACCGGCAGCCTCGTGGCAGGCGGGCTGGGGGCGGGGTTCTGGGGACCTGGGCGGGGCTGTGGCGGGCCTAACGGGCTGCAGCTGAGAAACTGATCCCCGAGACGGAGCCGGAAGGCCGTTATTCAGTGGCGGCTCCGAGCCTCCCCTTCGCCTTTTGGATGCGCCGAGCTCCTCAACGTGGCGTTCAGGGCCCTGCATTGTCTGGTCCGTTTTCACCGCAGATTCCAGCAACTGACACTTTCTTCCCTTAAACCTGTTGGGCGGTTCATTCCTTTGAGCCACTGTACGTGCTCTTCCTTCTGCCGCTAATGCCGTTCCCTCGCCTATTGTCTTGTTCGCCTGAAGAGTATCAGAGTCTCTGGAGGCCCTCTTCACCTCGACGATTCTGTTGCCCTAAGAAATACTGTGCCCTGAATTGCGGAACAGAGCTCTAGTTACAAAAAACACCCGCGGAGTGTGTGCACCAGATGCGCCCCCAACCTGCTGCTCCCAGTTGATAGTGCACCAAGCACCTGCCCTGGTCCCAGAAGCACAGAGGAAGCAAGCAGCCCCCAATTCACATCTCCTGCCGCTGCCCTGATTGGGGATGAAGGGCCACTGACTGCAGGGCCAAAGCCACAGCGGCCTCTCCGGCTGCAGGGTTCTCCTGACACTGACTCTAGAGGACCCTCACCCCCCGGCTCTCAAGCTCAAGCTCCCCAGTCCCCTGAAGAACAGGACCATCTCCTTTAAGACTCTAAGATACAAATGCAGGGGCTGGTCAGAGTGGTGACTCCAAAAAAAAAAAAAAAAATCACTGGGTGACTGCAAACTGTCAGCCAGGCACGGTGATACATGTCTGTAATCCCAGCACTTTGGGAGGCTGAGGCGGGTGGATCACGAGGTCAGGAGATCGAGACCATCCTGGCTAACATGGTGAAACCCTGTCTCTACTAAAACTACAAAAAATTAGCCGGGCGAGGTGGCGGGCGCCTGTATTCCCAGCTACTCGGGAGGCTGAGGCAGGAGAATGGCTTGAACCTGGGAGGCGGAGCTTGCAGCGAGCTGAGATTGCACCACTGTACTCCAGCCTGGGCGACAGACTGAGACTCTTTTTCAAAAAAAAAAAAAAAAAAAAAAAGCAAGGTGTCTCTCTTCTGTTCCTTGGTAAAGGGCAGCGAAGGGTAGTAGGACTTGAAATTACCCCGATTCAGAGATTCAGAGTCTATTGTGGCTATTTACTAAACACCCTGAGGCTATGAAATGAAGCGAATAGTGATGCTATATGGCGTATATATAAAATATACCTATATATCATTACATATCACATGTGACATTCTATATAACATATACACATATCGCCGGGCGCGGTGGCTCAAGCCTGTAATCCCAGCACTTTGGGAGGCCGAGACGGGCAGATCATGAGGTCAGGAGATCGAGACCAGCCTGGCTAACACGGTGAAACCCCCTCTACACCAAAAAAATACAAAAAACTAGCCGGGCGAGCTGGCGGGCGCCTGTAGTCCCAGCTACTCGGGAGGCTGAGGCAGGAGAATGGCGTAGACCTGGGAGGCGGAGCTTGCAGTGAGCTGAGATCCGGCCACTGCACTCCAGCCTGGGCGACAGAGCAAGACTCTGTCTCAACAAAAAAAAACATATACACATATCTACATACGCATATTTATATCAATACATATATTTGTATATTATGTATATATCACTATATATGTGATATACCTGCAGGCTCCACATGTGTCCATGAGCGGACACACACACACACACACACAGAGTGCCTGGCACTCAGTAACAGGAGCTTGCATAACCTGAAGGAAACAGGCAGGTGGTGAGGCCTGCCAGCCTATTTGGTCACCTATAGCTGGTAGGGCAGCCCCTGCTCTCCTGACCTTCGATGGCCTGGACCCTCTTCCATCACCCCTTGTACCCCACAGAGCTCCTCGGATGATGGTGCACTGAGAAGGCATCCAGAAACCTGGGCCCTCATGGCATCCAACGACGAAGGTATGGCACCCTCGCTGGGCTCTCCCTGGGCCTCCCAGACGGGGCCCTGGGACGCCATCCTCAAGGCTGTCAAAGATCAGCTCCCGTCTCTGGACTCAGACTCCTCCTTGGTAAGCAGAAACTCTCTCCCTGGATGCCTTGTCCTTCCTACCAGAGCAGGCATGACGTTGACCAGGATAGCTTTGGAGCACTTCTCTGAAGACTTCTCCCGCTGATCTGTGCAGTTTGTTGTCATTTTACTTTAAATCACATGGCCAGACTCAAAGTTGTGTTTTCTGGGTGCCTATTTCCTTCTTTACTCTTTCTTCTGCCTTGAGTGTCATCTCTGAGCATGGGTATTGGTGCTCAGCATCTTGGGAGACCCTTTCAGTTGGGTTCTGGTGCTGACTTGGAACCCAGGTCAACTCGATGCAGCAGCTCTGTCCTTTCCATTCTGCTATTCTCCACTCAGGCCAGGACAGGACCAGAACACCCACTGAGAATGCACAATTCCAGTGCACTGTGATGAGCCTTCGAGGGATTCTGCATTTGTGGTTTGGGGTCCCTGAAATGGCCCTCAAAGACACTCAGACCAATAGCCATAGGTGCAGGTGTAAGATGCTGCTGAAGATGCTCCTGGCAGGGGCTCCTCAGTGCACAGGTTGGCACTGGGTGTTGAGAGACAGTGTGAGGGTTTTAAAAGAAACAGGCTGGGTTTAGGTCCTACCTGGGCACCAGCAACAGAGCTTCAGGGACCTCAGACGTCATCCAGTGCATGGCGAGGCTAAGGAGTACCTATGGGGACCCCGCACCTCAGTGCTCAGTGCGTTTTCACACCATCAGTCTCATTTGAGAGTATGAGCCCCAGCCCCTTTAAGAAGACACACTAAGCTGTGTGATAGCTCAGGGTCACAGGGGACGGGGAGGGCTGGACCCTGCTTTCAACTGCCACCTTGCTGCCCTGTTCATGTCACACGAGGCATTAATGAAGCACCTGCTGTCTGCAAGGTACTTGCAGAACCAGGAGCCTGAATCTTACCTCCACGAGGTGGTACTGCCGAGCTGATTTCTAAACGGTGGCAAGAAGCCACGCACAGCAAGGCTAACTGGGAGAGAACCAGATCTCCCCCAGGCTCCTGAGCAGCAGGGCTAGGCGGGCTGGGCGTGCTGGGCTGGAAGTGAGGGTGGAGAGCAGGGACGGCTGGGCCCTCAGGGCTCTGCCTGCTGCCGTGTCTTCCAAAAGCCCTCTCATTTGTCCACAGTCGGACTATGGGGAAGAGGAGCTGTTCATCTTCCAGCGAAACCAAACCGCCCTGATTCCAGACCTATCAGAGGAGCTGGCTGAAGATCCTGCCGATGGCGACAAGTCCAGGACCTGGGCCGCTGCAGCTGAAGAATCCCTTCCCGAGGTCTGTGGGACACAGAAGAGTGTGCGCCTGTGTGTGTGCAATGTAAGTCTAAACTGACTGATCTAAACCACTGGTCTAGCATTTCCATGACACCCAGTCCTTTTTTTGGTCCCATGTACAACCCAAGGTATTCAGATGCCCAACATCTAACCTCCACACACCTCCCTCTCCCGGGGAGCCCAGCACCTTAGGGCTGGTGTGCGGATTTTCCATCTGATTTTGACCCTCCTCTTCCTCTTGATCGCTCCTATCCTGTTTTCTACCATGGCATCCTGAATAGCTTCTGGCCATTGTCATGACTGATTGTCCTAAATGTCTCTCCCTTAATCCAGCTGGCTTCATGGCTACCTGGCTCATCCCAGCACCCAGCAAGTACACAGGAACTCTGGTTTACTAAACTGCTAAACTAAACTGCTACAGGCTACTGTGGGGAGTGGGAGGGAGGAAGATGGCCCATCAGTGCCTGAGCAAGCACAAAAGCTGGACCTCGCGGGAGGGACACCCCAGGAGACAGTGAGCAAGTGTGGACTAAGCGTGCCAACACAGGCCTTCGGTGCCAGTGCCGCACACTGAGACAGACGTTCCCATGAGGCCAGAGTTTGAGACCCCTGGGCAATACAGCAAGACTCCATTTCTGGCTGAGCACAGTGGCTCATGCCTGTAATCCCAGCATTTTTGGGAGACCAATGTGGGTGGATCACTTGAAGTCAGGAGTTTGAGACCAGCCTGGTCAACATGGTGAAACACTACCTCTACTAAAAATACAAAAATTAGCTGGGCATGGTGGCAGGTGCCTGTGATCCCAGCTACTCCAGAGGCTGAGACAGGAAAATCGCTTGAACCCCGGAGAGCAGAGGTTGCAGTGAGCCAAGATCACGCCACTGCACACTCCAGCCCGGGCAACAGAGTGAGACTCCATCTTAAAAAAAAGAAAACAGGCCGGGCGCGGTGGCTCAAGCCTGTAATCCCAGCACTTTGGGAGGCCGAGACGGGTGGATCACGAGGTCAGGAGATTGAGACCATCC